ATTGTTGGTATTAATTTGAATTAAGTTTGTTGGTTAAATGACCAGGAGGAAATTGTGTACAAGTGAATAATCACAACCCTGAGTTTGAAATCCACAAAACTTTTTCTTTTGGACCAAGTTTGATTCGTTCTGTAAAAAGACTAACAGAAGAAATTTGTGACTGTAAAATTGTCAAAAAAAGTAACTGGTTTCTGATTCCTTTATATTAAAATGACAGTGCATATAAAGCAGTTAACAGGAAAGATGCATGTAAGGGGTTGGACCTCTTGGCGGAGTCTCACAGCATGTACAAAATTTTATTGTAACAATGTAATGTTACAGTTGAGATTGGAAATTTACTTTAGTCACAAAACGAATCAAACATATAGGAAATGTCACATGCACATCACCTTTGACTGTCAGCAAATGTTATGCAGTTCACTATATTTGCTCCCCTTGCAAATATGGATAATTATGATACAAATGTTCAAATTTATGATACAGCCAAATGTGTAGAAATTTATTGTTTTTGCTCTTAAGGCAAATACGAGTAAACCACATGCAAAAGTGTTCTTTTGGTATCCTGGAAAAACAAGAGCAAACACCACTGCAAATTAGTGGTTTTGCAATATTTTTGCCTGCATTTGAAGTACAGTGAAAACTGTCATTTTTGCCAAGGATGTAAATTTGAGTAAATTGGTAGAAATGTTGAAGATTTGCTCAAGCTGCAAATATGTATCAAATTTGTATCAAACCATTACATTTACTTGACTTTTGCGTATCAATACCTATCTAGCAAATATATGAATTTGCCCACACTTTAGCCGACAGCGCAAATGTAATGCAAATTTGGAGCTCCAAATTTACCACATATTTGCACCTTTCGCAAACATTAGTAAATCCGTTTTTTCGTCCAGTGTCTTGAGGAGAGTTAGCGATTGGTCTTTCTGTTCAAATCTGATTTATGAGTACCCTGGGTGCCAGAAACTTTTCTAGCGCGGTTTCCGGTTTCTGTCAAGTCTTTATAGTGACCCGCGCGAAAAGCTTCGCCGCTCGCAGCTTCGGCCTACGACCGAAGATCTGTCGGCCTTCGGCCAACACCGAAAATTCCCGCCCAGGGCACGCGAGAAAAACCTCTGGTACCCAGGGGAATTTATGAGAGTGTCGCGATCCAATTTGAAGCGAGTTGCATTGCCATCTTTTCACACAGGTCTTTTAAGAAAAAATTCTGTAGGTCTCGAATCTAAGGTAAGGTAAGGTAAGGTAAGGCGGACTTTATTTAAACACGGTATTTCCTTCAGGTATCCATTTACTTTGAAGTATAGAAAAACTAACTTCCTAACTAATCTAAACTCTAAGATAAAAACTAAAATAATAAAGATGAAAAGAAAACACCTGCTTTTCAAGGAGGCCAGGTGTAAAAACAGAATATCGCTAATTAAATTATTTGTCAATCGAAACTTATGTCTCTTAATTTTCCCTTAAATAACTAGGGGATGTCAATTGCCGCACCTCCAGAGGCAAGCCGTTCCATAACACACTTCCGCTGTAAGGAAGACTTCTTTTATAAAATTCAGTACGGGGTTGTAGAACAGCGAGCTTGTATTCATTCTCTCTAAGGTTCTAACTAGTTAAATCGCAGCGACGAACAAAACGCGAAGTCAGATATTCTGGAGCAGTGTTATTTACAATGCTATGCATCATTATTGCTTTACTAACTGCGCGCTGATGGACAAGTTTCAACCACTTTAAATTTTGAAACAATTCACTAGTACTGCAGTCATAATTAGAGAAAGTTAGAACGCGAGCGGCGCGATTCTGCAATTTCTGCAATTTAGAAGATAGGTTCTTAGAACAGTTTCCCCATACTACATTACAGTAATCAAAGTGTGGCTGTACCAGTGAATTGTATACGTTAAGTAGAATCTCAAAAGGGAGAAAATACCTAATACGCTTAATCGCACTTATGCCAGAAGCAATGTTCCTAGAGATTTCGTTAACATGACACTCCCAAGAAAGATTTCCATCGATGTGAACACCTAGGGATTTTGAAGTCGAAACGTGTTTAATCGGAAACTTGTTAATTTCGATTATGGGATTCCTTTCTAGCGTTGACAGTCTTTGCCTAGACCCAATTAATAAAAATTCTGTCTTAGTCGTGTTTAGTGTAAGTTTGCTCGCTGCAAGCCATATACGAATTCTATCTAAATCTATGTTAACGCAACGCTCTATTTCTTCAACATCTTTGCTCGCATAGGTGATACTAGTGTCGTCAGCATACATTCTTGGTTGTGAATGCATAAGGCAATTCGGAAGGTCATTTATGTATAGTAAAAACAAAAGACGCCCCAAAATCGTTCCCTGCGACACACCATAGGGTAGGTACGTTTGCTGCAATCTCGTTTTTACTCAGCTGCCTCAGAGTCTCGAAGCGGGCTCTCAGTGGAAAAGGCTTCGCCTACCATTTTCCACTTTCCTCTCATTCCGTGAAGCCAGACTAGTTTCAGTTCGCAGCCTTCAAAGTTTTGAATGATTTAACAGAAAGCATCAAAGTACTCTCCTTTCAGAAAAAGTGTAAACGCCAAAATTTAAGAAAATATCCTACAATCGATCGATGAAACAACGTTGTAAAGGTGAAAAAAAAAAAACGAAAAGGTAAAGATCCTTATTTTACAAGGGTAATTTTTGACCACGGGTAAACCAAGCTCTACGAGTCTATTGACCTTTGTAACGTTATTCCTGAGCGCCGTGATGCCACTGTCGCAAAAACGAAAACGGAAAATAAAGATTTGTGGAAAAAATGTTCCAAAACATATTCGTTACTATCATTCTTTTTCAACAAATATCGCTTACCTTTAGTACTTTGTTGGCCTTTTTGTGTTTTCTATGGGTTTCAGGTCGATTTGGAGCAATTTCATGCATGAGGTCTCGGGTCCAAAGTGGTATTGATCCCCGGAATTTTGCTTCTGATCCCTGATCCCTTAGCTTTTAGATCGAGAGCCCTAGCCCTAATCTCTGCTCCCACGTACTTCGTTACGTCCCTGAAATGGAGATTTCTTAAAGAGAAATTAAAAGCCTCTTTATACTATCCAGCGTCCGTGATAAGCGCCTTGTTGGTGGGGGGAAAGGACCGGTGAAGAGGGGAGGGGGACAAAGCAAGAGGGTACTCCTCGCCTCGTGGGGGGGAGAGGGGCGGGGCCGCCCGGTCAAATCCTGACCGTATTTCAGACCAAAAAATGTCATTTTCCACAGCCATTTTGGAACCCAGTAAAATCTATTCTCGTATTCAGACCTGGCATATTGACATAGATGATATATACATGTATCAAGAAAATTGATCAGAAACCGATGGAAATATGTGCCCAAATTATTATGAACAGACTTTTTTTTTGCTAAATGAAAAACACGAAAACTTTTGCGTGACTCAGCTTAAGATGTTACACTATTATTAGCCTGTTCCAGGCTCTCGGATAGTATGGATAATGCATAAGTGAAAGACACGCGAAAATATACAGCTCTGGAGATGAAAAACCCGTCTTCTTTTTGTGTTCGCGCCTAATCAGTTTCGCAGACACGATGTCAGAGTGATATGAGCATCACCTCGTTTTGGGCATCCCCATTTCCAAAACCGTTAATGGCCGGCTAGTGATATGGACATCCCCTCTAACCCTAACCCTAACCCAAATCGCTAAGGTAGTATGAGAATGGGATGCCCTTATGACTAGGGTTATGACTGGGGATGGGGATGCTAAAAACGCGAGAATGCCCATATCACTGTGACAACGACTATCTTCCAGGCTCCAAATATTAAAAAAAAACCCCTTCAGACAAACAACTTAAAAGCGCCTGCAAACGACGCTGGGAAGGCTCACGCAATCCTCGCGCAAAGACAATGGCGGAAGTTCCAGTTAACCGGTCTGTACCTTCTGGTTATGACGAGCAATTTGTTAACCCGCCTGATGAAGACCTGCAATGCATAATATGTTATTTACCGTCGAAAGAACCAGTTGCGTACGAGATGTGGTCATAAGTTCTGTCGGCAATGTCTGGAGGAACACATACGGAGGTATTATAACTTGATAGTGATAGAGGATTTTATCACAGTTTGCTAAATTAAAGTTAGAATCCTACGTGTTCCATAGTTGATTGTGGCTAAAAATTATATTTTATCACAGGAGCAAAATGTTTTCAACACAAGTTTTTTAGGCTCAGCGATCTGCAGGAGAAAAAAAATCGTCATTTCATTCATCAACACATGTCGTTCAGAATTTAGAAATTTAGAATTTGAGAGTACTTGCGAATAAAGACACCCGACTAAAGGTACTTGTACGGCAGGTACAAGACACATAATAATGTAATACAGCATCAAATACAATACATATTGGCATGATAACATGCAAATATTAAATTAAATAAGGTGTGTGGAAGGCGCTATTGCAGTTCATATGAAATGTGGTAAGTTTTAAGAGGGTTATGTTGGTGTAGAATAACGGTAGACTTTATTGTTTTTATTCATGTAGATTTAATGGAGGGAAAGTGTTTTTTTTGTTTATTTTTAGTGTTTCACGGTGCCTCTGAGCGAGGGCGTAAGGAGCTAGGGACCGTACGTTTATTATGTTTCGGGGGGGGGGATTCAGAAAAGTGTGGTGTGCCAAAACTTTACCCCCTTCTCCCAAAAAACACCCATTAAGCTAATGGCTTAATGACATTTTTGCGAAGGGCTAATTTCCTGGTTGTTTGTCTGATCTGCATCTGGGATGGAGATAGGGAAATAGTTAGAATTCCTTGCGGGCTCAAATCATGCAATCAATGGTTTGTGATTCATTGTTGGTTCAGATAGCAACGCAGGAACATCGTCAGTCTTTGACTCAATTTTCCCTCCACCTTCCCCGGTACTCCATCCCGGCTGTTTTTTGGGTCATCAATATAAATTATGTCCTTGTGCTTGTGTATGTGCAGACTTGCAAGAGAGCTCAATCTCTCGTCTGTCATGGTCCTTCGTAAAGGAGTTTGCAGTCTCTTCATACCGCTGAAGCTACGCTCAACTGTGCATGTTGACACAGGAAATTAGTCAACAAAGTTATGAGAGCTACATTATACTCCGGGATAGAATTGTAGTTGGCTTGGTCAAAAGTCTCAACCAAGGTCTGTGGCTTCACATTCGAATCCATTTCACTCCACTTAATCAGTAAAAGGATAAAGGAAATCCTAACACAAAAACACCAAAAAATGCGAAATATTTATCGCAATTTAATGATAAAAATGCTTTCAGGAAATAAAAAAAATCTATATATTTTTTCCAGGTCGATAATACGCTTTTTAATTTCAATCGCTTGATTCCGTACACTTGCGAACATGCATCAACTTTTAAGTGTTACGCGATCTTGTCACCTTTCATTCACGATCCTCGATCCTCTTGGTTGCTTCGCTGGGCTTGCACGAATGTGGTTATCTCAAAATCATTTTTATTTTTGTGGCACTTACAGTAGCAGAGGATATTAAGTAAATAAACTCTGTGCTCATTACTTGTTTCATCTGACTTAATTGTGACAGTGATGATAACATTTCTATTGGTGTTTGTGGTTAAAAAAAAACTTAATTACAAAATTATGTTTGAGGGTAGAGATTTGCTTTGCGTTTTTTAATAACGTGAATGAGATTTGGTTAATGTATATTATATAATGTTATACGTATTGTAAAGGAGCTGATAATGCCGGATAAGCCACATAAAGAATGTGGAATAGTGGGTTGTAAGCTATTGATTCTATAAATTTATACTAAGCTAAGTGAGGACAATTTGTCATCCAGATTTAAAGGTGGCTGAATTTAAAGAGCAGTTGAAAGCATCATTTTCAAATTGGAGACCAGTTGTAAAGTAAACATAGAATTTAGTTTACTCGGCTTAAAAACAAATTGAATAACAATCAAGAAAAACATAAACTCGGGAAAGTGTTAGTTGTTTTCTGACTAAAATAATAGATAATTGCTATTAGTAAAAGTTTCCTATCAGAGAACGAAAAAAAGGCCCAACAGTCTCGAACTCTTGCGCGCCATTATTGTGAGATATTTTGGTAACGTTGCGTGAATCGCCTTCACGCGACATCAATTCGATCACTTTCAAGAACCTAAAAGCTACGAAGGCGTGTTTGATATGTAGGGTCTCTTGGACTCTGGGGAGAAACGTTTCATCTGAAAGCTGTATCGATCCAATATGACGAGACTTTCTTCAGTTTATAATTAAGAGACCCTTTCGTTAATTTCCAGAGAGGAAAAATCCCTCCGAGAACTACCGACCAAGAAACAAGGAAAAAGATGATCGTAAGAACCGCCGCAAGTTAGCCTGGTTTGTACCCATGGCCATTTGACCCATATGGATTGTTATTCACATTCTGTAAATGTTTAAGTGTCTGAAGTGTATCATAGGTGCTCGGATATAAGTTTCAGTTAGTTATTCGGTGAACTCTCAGCCCATTTCTAATATTTCTTATCTCTACAATCAATTCTTTGTATGTTAGACTCATCTATCACTTATCATAAGATTCTTCAGTAGCTGACAGTTAAAACAGTTAAAATTTTACCCATTTTCAAGTTTCCGTCAAGCGCCATCGAGAGCGTCTTATTATATCTCGCGGGCGACAGAGTTCTGTGAAAATTGCTAGTAAGACTAGAATCTGATAACCAACCGCTGAAGCTTAGTAGTGGCTGCCTGACGAACCGTAAACTTCTTCTTAGCGTCAGAGATGACATTATGGTGTGATAATCTGAGAAATCAATACGATATAGGGAGATATTTTTCAACGAGTATTTGAAGGGGAAAGAAGGCATTGACACCTGAAGCTTCCGAGGGAATCAAATTCACATTTCAAAGTGGGCACCGGTCATAAAGAGCAAGTAGTATAATACTTAAAATCAGTCAGTGATGTTTACTTTGGCCAACCCCATGTAAATTTACATGACAGCATGAGAAAAATTTAAAACCCGTTTTTTCTTAGCTTAATAAGTTACAGAAAAATTGTTTAAGTCAGAAGAGAATAACTAGCCTATTTTAGTATGAATTAAAGTTTGATGATGCAAACCTACACCCTTTTATGTAGTTTCAAGTTGCAATTCTGGAACCCTCCATCTGGCGTAGGTATTTAGCTTCGTCTCGTTCTCTCTCTGATTTATTGCGCTAAGAAGCTGTCGTTCCCACAACACTGATCTTTTAAGGAATTCCAGTCCATCATTTTTGTGCTTGTACTGGTGACAACTAGAGATTTACGCAATGATACTATGCCGAAGAAAGAAATCAACTAGTCGCTATGCAAACAGGAAAAAGGAATAGTGAAAAAAAAATTCAGACTCTTTCTGTCAACAGAAACAATAGCTAGAACGCGGGCTATTCCCACCTTAGTCTTAGTGATTAGTGAAACGCCGGCGCGTGGCCGAATGGTTAGAGCGCTGGAGCACTGTAAAGTCCTGTCCTAACCGCTAACTGGATTTTTCGTGTTTAAGAGTCCCGAGTTCGGCGAAGCATGTGAACAGTCAATTGGGTTGCCTCCCGCTCTCTTCTCTTTATTTAATAGTTCAGGAAGAGACGAATAGAAACAATGGAAATCACTACCCTTAGGGTAGATTGGATATCCGATATCCAATCTTGATATTACCATTTTGCGAATTTTTCTTTTCCTTTCCTTTTCATTTCTTCAAAAATTATAGTTCATTTGAGACGCTATATCAAACACAGCACGACCACCCAGTTTTTCATCCCGCCGATACTGCTGGCAGACATCGATATTAGCTGCGTCTCGTTTTTCAACCCAACTTCTCGGTGTCTCACAAGCAAGAAAAAATAAACTCGGGAAAGTGTTAATTGTTTTCTGACCAAAATAAAAGATAATTCAGTGCTATGAAGAGTTTCCTTTCAGAGTCAGAAAAAAGGCCCAACAGTCATACCTTATAGCAAGGCATTTTGTTGCGTGAATCGTCTGAGCTAGTTGATCACGCGACATCAGTTCGATCACTTCCAAGAACCCATGCACCATAACAATCGTTCCAAAATATCAAGAATAGGGTTTCTTGGACTCTGGAGTGAAACGTTTCATCTGAAAGCTGTATCGATCCAATATGACAGGACATTCTTCAGTTTACTAGACCCCTTCGTTATTTTGCAAGGGGGTTCAAGTTAACCAGTCAATGGAAAAATCCCTCCGAGAACCACCCAGAAAGATGATGGTAAGGACTGCCATAAGTTAGCGTAGTTTGTACGTGTAACCATATGGATTGGACGTCATTCACATTCAGTGTTTAAATGTCTTAGGTGTATCATAGAAAAAAGTGCTCGGTAAAAAAAGTTTCAGTTAGATATTCAGTGAACTCTCAGCCCATTTCTGGTGTTTCTTGTCAGTTCAGTTAATTCTTTGTATCTTAGACTCCTAGCTGACAGTTAAAAATTTTACCCAATTTTCAGCATTCCGTCACCATCGAAAGCGTCTTATATATCCGGCGCGGGCAACAGAGTTCAGACTTTGAAAAGTGCTAGGAAGACTAGAATCTGATATAGCCAACCACTGAAGCTTAGTACAGTGTAGTGGCTGTCTGACGAACCGTAAACTTTTTTTTGCGGCCTCGTTAATGAGATAATCTGAGAAATCAATGCGATATACGAAGATATTTTTCAACGGGTATTTGAAGGGGAAAGAACGCATTGACACCTGAAGCTACCCAGGGAATCAAACTCACATTTCAAAGCGGGCACCAACCATAAAGAGCAAGTCGCAATAGTATAATATATTGAAAATCAGTCAGTGATATTAACTTAATGGCCAACCCAATCTACATTTAAATGACGACTTGACAGAAATGTTAAAACACGTTTTTTTTTTAGCACAATAATTTACAGAAAAATTTGGAAAACTCAGAAGAGTATAGCCTATTTAATTTAGTATGGATGAAGATTTGATACTGTAAACCTGCACCCTTTTGTAGTTTCAAGTTGCAACATTTAGCTTCGTCTCGTTCCGTCTGTGGTTCATTGTGAAGAAGTTGTCGTTCCCACAACATTGTTTAAGCAAATTGCAGTATATCATTTTTGGTGCTTTGGTCTTTAAGCTGTGGTAAGTCTATTTTTGTTGTGTTGTAAATTTTATTGATGGTGACGCGAAAAGTTTATAATTTTCACCAACTTTCTCCTGGTTTTTTGTGTTTTGGCTAGTGTGCCAGCCTATACATGTTAATTAATTTGCTAAAATTTTCTCAATCTTTAGATCTTACAGCTATAACACCGCTTGCGACATATTAAGAATCCTTTATATCCTTCATAGTTTGGTATCTTGCTTTCTCAAGAATGATAAGTAAGCTTAATATTTATCTCGGCTCGCGTGCTTGGGTTTCGCGTGCAGTAATTTGCAAAGAAAAATTATAGACTGCTCGCAGTCTAGCTAGTTTCATGCAGGATCATTGGTACAATGACAGTAAATGGTTTTGTTGAATTTTTACAAAGTTGTGTTTATTTCAATATTTTTTGCGAATCAGGCTCAAGCCATGCCCTTCGCGGCTTGAGATTTCCTTTTTTGCGAAAATATTCGACGGACTTTTTTGGTGAATTAGGCCTGTTTCAAACGTCAATTGCTATTGCTGTGCTAAGCTGGCTCGACTGTAGCTCGACTGCAGCACGACACTAGCACGACTTGGTTTCAGACGTCGAATTTAATTCAGTCGGATAGAACGGCTGTTGCCGAAAACAAAACACAAAATTAAAGAAACGGTTAAGCAAACTTTTAATTGTATTCTAATGCATTTATCTAATGCATTTTGCATTTTGTGCTTGTGATTTCGGATTGTGTTCAAAAGATTATGGGTCAAAATTCAAAACTTGCCCAAATTAAGGCCAAAAAGAAAACAAAATGTTACTAGGCTAATATTTACGCCCCAAACGAAGACAATCCAGCTTTCTTCGATCTTTTTTATCGCCTTTCTGACTTAAACTGTGATGATATAGTTATAGGGGGAGATTTTAATCTCGTGTTCGATTTAGAGAAAGATAAGAAGGGCGGCTTTGGGAAAACTTAAGTGGTAAATTAAAGTTTTAAACGAATCGTCGGAGAATCTGAATTTAGTTGATTTATGGAGAGTTCTTCATTCTGAGAACAGCCGGTTTACAAATAAAATTAAAAAAGCCCTTCTTGGAAGTCGGCTAGTATAATCGGTATTATTGTCTCAAAAATGTACTTCCCCTACCCGCAGTCAACATATTAAATGGATGGTGGACCTAAACAACAGGATGAGCGATGAACCCCAATGGTCTAACACTATTGCCTTCAACACTAAAAGTATACGGGTGTCGATGGAGTTCCAGTCCAACTTTCTCCATTGACTGGCTTACCGCAAATGACTTCAGTTTTGACAAAAATCGGAAAAGAAAACAACCCTAATTGCAACTTTTGTGGCAACGGGAAAGATGGGATTGCCCATCTTTTCTGGTTCTACCCTAAGGTCTCTTCTTTTTGTACTTCATTAATAATAATACTACGACTAGTTTCTTTCAGTTTTGCCTGCTCTGTACAAATTACTGTAAGTAGCACTTGGTCTTAGGCCTGACTCTTCAAATCGACAACATCAACTTAATTTCACTTATCTTTTAGCCAGCTACTATATCTGGATCTGTAAAAAGAGGAATCAGAACCAAATCCAGTTTTTAACAACTAAAACATAATCATTATGAAATAAAATCCAAAGCAAACCGTGATCTACCAAAACAGTGGGATCTCCTCGTCAACATTCTTTAAATACCTCTTCCCACTTATTCATTTAGTTATCTTAAAATTCGTGAAAAAAGATAAGCTGTCTTACCCCTGACACCTGCAGCTAATTCCTTCAGAATCGCTGATTTTTCTTTTCCACTTAAACGTAAGTAGTTAGTCAATAATACTTAAACTCTGCTCTTCACAGATGTACTTTGATTGATGATGTATAATTATTACTTTTTCTTTCGTTTTTTTTTACACTATGTACTTTTATTTTTCTTTCTCTCCTTTTTTAGTGTGGTGTAATAAGTTACTGAGATAATAATAATAATAATAATAATAATAATGATAATAATAATAATAATAATAATAATAATAATAATAATAACAATAATAATAATTTTTTTAAAAAAGATTTCGTCAAAGGTGCCCTGGAGGACCTGGGCTGACCCTGTTAACCTTTGTTACTAACTTTCTTTGTTTCTTTCTTTGCATTATGGACGTTTTCACGTTATTACTTGCTATATATGGAGATCTGATTAAATAAATATAGCTTAAAAACTAGATCTGTCTTAGTTTAGAGTTTTTCTGGCATAAACATGTAGCTGTTTTCTTAGGGGGGTGGGGGGGGGGTGGGGTTGGCAGATTGAGCCGATTACATATCACCCTGTTTTAGGCAAGAATGCCTTTCCAAGGTGATAACTATGACAGATTTTTCCCCATATTTTGCCGTATTCCAAATCATAATGGTATTATTTATTGATTTGTTTTCAGACTATTCAAATTTTCAAACTTTTAAACTTGATCATCTAGCCATAAAACTGCGCAATATAACCGGACTCAAATAAGCGTCTCAAATTTAAACAAGGTATACAGAAATGCTGATCAAACGTTGTTAACATCGAATTCATGTCTCAAGCTGGAGGGGGGCTTATGGCCTTCATGTGTATTTTTTTTATTTACAGGTAGATGGCCCTATAACTAAGGGAGAAGGGGTTAAAAAAATGAAACATACGGTATTCCCTCTCTTATTAAGCCCTCCTGAGGATCCTCAAGACAAAAATGATCATTTTTTATTTTGATTCCTCGTTTCTAGGACTTTGACTCAGACGATGATGCCCTGGTTGACTGCAGCTGTTTCATTGTTTCTGGCATGCTCGGTAAATGGCCTGGACGCGGTTTTAAACGACACGTGTGCTGGTCAGGCTGATATAAATCAAGTTGCGTGTATGATCCAGAAACTTGACATAAAAGTCAGCTCACAGGGCTCAAAGCTAGATAAAGTCATCCAGCTTTTACAGGGTAAGCTGGGTAAGCTCTCCTCCCATTATGGTCAAAATGAACAACGGTTATTGCTGTATTTACGCCCATCTAAAGATGTGTTTCAAGTGCACTGTTGGTTAGAAAGAACTGCGGACCCAGCCCCAGAGTGGGTCAATTTATTCCTACCGACCTAAAGCCTTATTCAGTTTCTTCTTACCCTCGGCTAACAGAGTTAGCAGAGGTTTCTTCCGGGATGGTGTTTAGCATGTGCGGAGTCGTTCGCGGCGCTGACCTCTCGAAGTCTGGCTTTTGTACGTCTCTCGGGGAGGGAAATATGCCAACGACTCCGTACATGCTAAACAACATGCCGAAATGCAACCTCTGCTGACAACTTAGCCTCTTCTGAAGCCATTTGAACACAATTTGAATCAAAATACCCCTATTAAATGTCTGTTCCAACTAAATATGGGATCCATTTAAGCCCGACTGTCAGAATAAACCCTAGAAAATTGGACTATATTGGCCTTAGCAAAGAAGCCGACTTAGAGTGTAGTTTCCTTTCCAAAACCGCTCCAAATTCGGTACTCCAACAAAACTTTTGAATTTACAGTGTGTTAGATGTTCCTTTCTTTTCTAATTTGTCCGGGATAGTGAGCAAAACTGACTTAACCTCAAGTTCTAAGAGTAGAAAATAACCAAATTTCCCCTTCAGGCCTGGCTGATACTCTCGAAATGATAACTTGAAGGTGTAAAGGTGGGCGTATAATCTGTCGAATATGATCTTTCGGGTTAAAGGACGAGGTAGAACTATTTACACATTTTTTTTGTTAGTAACAATGTATTTTTAACATGTCCAGTTCGCTCAGGCTCTATCACAAGCCCAGTATGTAGAGGCTCGCGATGGCTGTCAGCTTAATTTGCCATCGGTATTTACTACACAGGCTCAGCAACTTACATTTATCATTAAATCTTGCACAGTTTTGTTTTGCTTCAATCAGCGAGATAAAAAAAAATTGGTTTCAAATCCTACGACATTTGGTAAATTCGTGATTCAATACAAAGCTTTGCAGATGACTATAGCTTCAACGTACGCTACTGGAGCGATCCTTTTAGAGCGTTGTGGTGGCTTTCTTCAGAGACTAGTAGCCTAATAAGGTAGCAAGGGAACAATTTCCAATATCAGTCTTTGACTATGATAATTAACGTTCCCATTACAACTACTTTTCCAAAAGTGCCATGTGACGTGACGCTCCCTCACGTGACAACTTTTCACATTTAGAATGGCCATATTCTAACATTAACTTAGGCCCAAAAATCTGGCTATCATTTTTGCGAATATCTTCTAGATGTTGAAAGAAACGACGAAGACGCATCCATACCAGTTTTAAGCTCGCCAATTATTCCAACCAAACATGACAGTCTGTGGTCTCTCTCTTCACCAAGGCAACACGAAAGGCAGCCTGCGAACAGGCTCCCAAGTGGAGAGGGGTGAAAATAAAAAAAAATTCGCCGAGCGAAACGACACGAGCGTGGCCTGAGAAAAAAAGGCGGGGAGCCTGTAGTCTTAGTTTAGATGTCGCCCATTCGCCCACTTGCAATTATCCCCCTCACAGGGTGGGGAGAGAGGGGGGGGTTGGGGTGTCTCCAAGGAAATATGTGGTACAGTCCGCCTGCCAGTATGACGCCACGTCTCGCGTCAGTGACTTTTTAAAATGGCGAGCACAGTGTTCATCTAATTGACGGATAAAAATCTCGATTTGATCACGGAAATACTGTTCCGATTTCTTGGAATTGGAAATTTTAACGTCCCTATTATCATGGAAAACTAGACTTAAGTACTTTTTTGGAATGAAATGTCCAGCGGTGCAATGAATTTTAAAGATTCCTTTCTATCGTCGAGCAAATTTTACGGGCAATCATACCGACCGGTCACTTTTTTGAGGGCCAGTGCACAGCAAGATTGAGGAATTTAGACACAGCAATAGGAGGTACATCAAAGGATGTATTATACTCACCGTTGCGGGTATCTTCAACTCTTCAGAGCTGGTGGAACCCCACATCAGTCTTCAAAAGTTCGCTTAGCTGTAGCGTTGAAAGAGGAAGCTAATTGACAGGTATTTGTGACTGTGAGCAGTGAATCTTGTTGCTTTGCCGTATTTTAATACTGTACTGGCAGTGATACACCTGTATTCTGTAATTAAATCTCCAAAACGAAATAAAAGGTTTTAATTATTTTAGGGGGGGGGGGGCAAACCCAGTGGAGATTAATAATGGGTGGGTAATAATATTGATGATTAAGACGATGTACAAAAGGCAAGTTTAAATTTTGTCGGTGGGTCACTGGTGGATGTTGGGTGCAAATTAGTACAGTTTGTGGTGTACTGTGTGTTGTTTGTCATGATGTCAACTAACATTGAAAAAAATTCAGCTCTTTCAGAGGAATGAGATGTCTTGACAGCTTACGGTTTTTTTCTGGTCGTAAGCCAGTATGCAGATCAAGAGCTTTTAAAATCCCTTTCCCAAAATAAAACTCCGGAGTTAAGCCTAAAATATATATTCAGATCCAAGTGCATGACCAGCAGGGTCAGCAGTAAGAATAAAGGAAAAAAGGCCAAAAGGAAAAATAGTGTTGAAAAACAAACTGACTAAAAAAAAAACAAAAAAACGGTACAAGGAAAAAGAAAACAGCGTCGCCCTTGACCACTGCACCACAGTGACTAGTCTGTCGTCACGCAACGCTCCTCCCCACTAAAAGCGGCTGTGTAGCAGACTACACAATGACACATACGATTTGAAAAATTAATTTTGTCATATCAAAACACTTTTTCTCTGCCATAGGCGCCGTTTGAAGCTGGTGGAGCTGTATTTATCATGAACTCAAATATACATTTGAGGAAAAGTAGCTTATGCGCGTATTTCAAAGCTATTTCGCATTATTTCGGGGTCAATGGGCCGACTCGATGTAGATAATCGATCGAACTAGCTTTACTGAATTTCGTGGAGAATTAGGAGATCAACAGAGGCCCACACTCGAAAGGATTGATATGAAGTTAGGCCCGTTAAATTAACAAAAGAGTAGATGAAATATAAACATGTGTGATCTGTGAATGGAACCTACTATTCTGGAGACTACACCTTGCCCATTTTAGAGAAAAAAGGGTTTAAGTTTTGATGACCTTGCCAGTCCCGTGAAATAGACGGCGATCCCGTATCACGATCCGCGGAACAAATTAACAAAATTATACAATTAAGGACACAAAATATCAAAACGGTTTACACAAGTAGATTATAGCAACACCAAAGCTCACACACATTCTATCAAATTAGCGATATATAGCGATATTTGCTAGCTTCTTAGCTTTTCCTCGACCACGCTCGTCCTAATAACTGTCGTATCCCTTGCTAATTTGCACAAGCAACCCGAGGCTCTTGCCCGTTACTATGTGACGTCATACTAACAGGCGGAGTGGGTCAAGAAACTTAGGTGGAAAACAATAGAGGTCTCCCCCACCCCCCAACCCCCTGTGCTACAGGTATTATAATAGCATGTCAATGGGGTAATTAGACCTGTCAAATTATGATATTATTACGCTTGAATGCATCGGCTTCAATAACATTCGTGGCTATTTTGTCAATATTCACAGCTCACTTGTCAACAGTCAGCGATCTGACCAATGAGATCATGATGCCAAAAACTGGTATCATGGATGGACGGCATTAAAACAAAGTGTACAGGCTCCACCGCCATTTTGTTCTCTCCCAGGCCACGCTCGGCTTGCTTCGCTCGCTCATTCAGTCTCTTCCGCCCCGCTCAACATGGAAGCCTGTCTGCAGGTTTCATGAAAAGCCTCAAAAATCCATAGCATATCATAGCTTAAAACAGCACGGGACGGGGAAAAAACATGACACATTACTCAGGCAACATTTTCTTCGAACCTTTATTGAACATTTGCGCTAAAATCTGCATTTTGGAGTAAATTATAGCCATCGTATCGTTCATTTGTATTCAGTCTTCCATGAAGAACGAAAGATTGATGCTCATATTTCAAACGGCCCCACTAAAAGCCAGAGGATGGTCCGCCTGTACTGACGTCAAAGACGTTAAATGTTGCCTTCCATTCTAACTTCCACCCCTCCCTCCTTATGTACAAACCAATTCTTAATACTTACTCACTTTCTTACATACATACTTACTTATTACTTACTTATTTACGTACTATCGATACCTACTTACTTACTTACGTACTTTTAAATACTCATTCAGGTGACGAACAATCGAGTTGCAAGGAAATTTTTGAGAAGGGATCGTGAGTACATCATAAATAATTAGCAACATTTCTTGTTACATTTTTGGTTTCGTCATGAAACAATCAACCTTTTTAGTTTTTCATAGTATCTTTCGTTAGGTTCAACGGCTTTCTTCGCATTTAATATATTAACAAGGCGCTCAGATTAGCTGTACCTCCAGTGCAAATTAACTGCGGCACGCGAATGGCGCGGGCACGTGCAGCACATGCATGTGGGTTAACGTTGTCTAAGTGGATAAAGGGACTCCAATGGTTTTTATTAAGACAATTAATAAGGGCTGCACAGTTGCTAGTTAATGCGGTGCTCTGCCTATTCAATTGTATTTATAATCCAGAAAGCCCTTCTTAATTTTTCGACTTTGAGGGCGGCGTTCTTTCAAGTAACTACGGTTGTCATAAGAGGGACTTACTACATTATATTGTGGTCCATCTGCTTATAACATTTGAAGGCTTTATTACATTTGAGGTGGCTTCAACGGCCTAATTATAACTATCCGTTTTACTGCTTTCCGAGCGGGTGCATATAATTTTTACTGATTAAGGCCACACTATGCCCGATGCGGCTGGTGTTACATTAACTTGGGTTGGCTGTTGCAGATTGCTCCATAAAAATTTTTCTGTCCAAAGAGTGATCAAAAGATTTTTATATTCTATTGTTATATTTATTCCTGTTTTTTTTTTTCACCAAACTCAATCGTTTATTGCATCTGATAGACAGTCATTTAATTAAAACATGCAAAGAAAACAAATCTTGCTTTATTTCAGTGCCTCAAACAAATATCATTTAAGTCAATATCTATTTACTAGGATGCGTGAAAACAAAGCCTACGTACTGAATGTGGAGTCTGAAAAAATTCCTGTGTACTGTCATATGAAACGTACAACTCAGCTTGAAGCATGCGGAGGAGGCGGATGGACGCTGGTGATGAAGATCGATGGCAAAAAGGTAGCAGCAGCAAAAAAACAACTTTATTTATTATTCATTAAAAATATATTGCACATGTTCATGATTGGCTCCAGTCCATCGACTAATTCTTCATAACCAACCGGCTTTTACCATATTTGGAAGATATAGGAAATATATATGATCGATTCGATGGTAAATTGCCTAATAATAGCCCATCAATCAACCTCGTTTCCAGCGTCGCGGCATCCTAGTTGCTTATGCCTGAGTGAAAACAAGCGCTCAGAGCTATCCAAAGACGAAATAGCCGAATTTCTGAATAATACTCAGCCTCATTCAAAAATTGCTAATTTTTATGCAGTTCTGTCACCATCTTGGCCTGCGAAAACATCCGTTTCTCCTCGCTCTTCACTGCTGGGGGCGTTTCGCGCGGAGGAACGTTTGCGACTTAACGACGGAGATTCCATACTAATGACGTAAAATCTGGCCGGACAGAATTGCTTTAGCTATTGTTTGCATGCGAATGACAGACGAGAGACAAAAGGCCACAAAGGTCAAATGTAACACAAAGAATCTCTAACAAAACAGTCAATATTTGTGGAATATAGTCTTCTCTAGAAGAAGCATTTGAGTTTCGCTGGAGCTCGTTGGCAGATGAACACAACACCTTACCAAAATCGACCAGACCACACGTAATATTGGACAAATTTATATTTGGAACCCCAAAACTACCGGATTTATTATGAAAACATTGATTTGCGTCACCAGTATGGGATTTCTGTCACTGCATGGTCGCAGAAATTCCTCCGCGCGAACGTCCCCAACGGCGAAGAGGGAGGAGAAACATATGTTTTCGCAGGCTATCACCATCTCAATAGTCCCTTTGCAGCAAGTCACTCAGTTACGTGATTCGCTTTGTCTCGACCACTCGTATAGCCATTCATATAATAAAGCCTCCTTTTAGGTTCACCAGTAGAACCATGATGGTGGTCATTGAATATCATCACGACGAAATGTTCAGAGGAATCCCTTGCCATATCACGTCGTTAATACTGTAGCGTGGGTATTTGTTACATTATTTGAGGTCTTCTTAGCCTAAATACCGTATTCTGAAAACTGTATGTTGAGGGGGATGAGGTTGGATGTGGTTGTTCCCAGAGCCCAGACGACCAAATTGAATAGTCTTCCCAACTTTTGGAGCACAATGTAACCACTGTGATGTCAAATGAAAACGGTCTGTTAATTGACGATATATGACTATCATTTTCTTCTTTATCTGCTTAGAGAACCTTTCACTACGATGCCAACTTGTGGACCAACAAGAAGGACCATAATCCCTCTGCAGGAAAGACCCTGTTTGATCATCAAGAGACAAAATTACCCACTTACTGGAGCACACCATTCTCTAAAATCTGCCTCGCTATGAAGATCGGCCACCAAGTTAATTCGATCATGATCAAAAAACAAGCCGACTCCTTGTACTCCCTGATCGCTGACGGAAACCACCGTTCGACGTCACTGGGTCGTCACACCTGGAAGAAGCTGATTGGTCAACAGGCATCGCTACAGAGAAATTGTAACCGGGAAGGTTTCAATTGTAAATCCTTTAGCAAAGCAAGAATCGGTATCATAAGTAACCAAGAAAACAACTGTGGTACCTGTGACTCCAGAATTGGGTTTGGTGCTGGGGGATATCCTATTGGTGATGACAACACCTGTGGAAACTGGGCACGGTATGGTGGGGACAATGGCGATAGGGACATAAAAGCCATGGGTTACATCTTGGTGCAATGAGTATCCGGACAATCTGCTTCCAGTTCACGACGCACAATGATTAATGGAACTTACAACGCTTATAGAAATTGTAGACTTATCAGTACGCAATTAGTTTAGGTCAGGACCATTTGTAGAAATTCAGTTGAATAAACGCATTGCTTCAAACAAACAGTTTCTCTCTGTTTTCCTCTGTCTCGATCATTCCTGGCCGTACGGTCAGGCCGTTCTGTGAGCCACATCAGTGATTGATCCCTAAGTAATGCCTCTCTAATGGGTACGGGCCGCGCATACTGCTTTCCCCACCCCCTCTCCACTCCACACACACTTCCTTCCCCGAAAAAAGCCTACTAAAAGGTCACAACTACTCTAAAGCTAAACTTCACAAAGATACAGCTGTCCTATGTGTAAAAGAAAATTAACAGCCTGCAAGCAAGCCATGCAGTGCTGGTCCAGTCTCGTTTCTGTTAATGATAACTGATAGGGAATTCAAGGTTTCACGATGGCAATGACAACAAGAGCGTCATGATAGCGGGGCTCCCACGCGCGCTTCGCTTCCCATACTCATAGAATATGGTCAACCTCTTTTTTTTACTTTGGTTGTCACGTGATTGACCAAGCGTACGTACGTTCGTACGTACGTACACGTCTACAGATTTTTACGGGTGGGGTAGGGGAGACTATCAAAAGGAACGGAGGGGTGTCTCAGGCGTGTCTTGGCAAATCCACATCTTCCTGCCATACGGTACGCGCGTCTAAAATTTGAATTAGCCAATCAGAGGTTAGCAACTAGTTGAAACTAAGTTTTCCTACGTCATCTGTTTTTCCCTCGCCCTGATTCGTTAGAATGATGGCGACAGTAGATAGGAACAAGAATCGCCGAAAGGCGATTTTTAACTGGGCTGCAAAGGGGCTATTTGTTCTGAGGGGAGGGGGCGGCTATACACACTCAGGCTACCATAAAACCTTGTCGTTAACCATTGCATGCAACAGAATCTCATGCGAGACTGAAACATAAACTCATTCAGAACATTGTACCCTTTTGAAAGACTTTCGTAACCAAAAAAAAGAGTACCATTTTTAAGTAGGGGCTGTATAATAACTTTTAAATTCCACCATTATGAATAAAAATAAACAAGTTAGCCATTAATTCTAAACAGAAAACAATTTGCACTATTTCCACGCACCCCTCCCCCAATCCCTCTGTGCCCCAAAATATAGCGTGACAGTATAACGTGACTAATTTGACGTAACCGGAAATTCCAAAAATTGTTGTCCTTCTACGAGCATAAAATGCGACAGACTGAGCTGATTTACACTTGACAGAAATATTGTATTGTATGAAAACCAGAAGTATACTAAAACAGACAGTTAACTGCCCATTGATCCCGCCTGATCCAGGGGCCTCACTGACTGCACGGAGACTTTACCGCGCTTCTCACAAACATGCGAACTCTAAAGTTCAAAAGCCACCTTCACAATTGTGTTTATCGCTGCTGCCAATCATAATTTACCCTGGGTGCCAGAGACTTTTCTAGCGGCCAACACCGAAACTTCCCGCCGCACGCGAGAAAAACCTCTGGTACCCAGGGTAATCATAATTACGATCACAAGCAATGAACCTTGAAACAGAGAAACACACAAAACGGATCGAAATCCACAAATCACAAACCATGACCTTTTGAACCCGTGAAGTAAAGTTTTTTTTCCTAAGAGGTCCGTTAAGATGATTGACAGCAGCGAAAAACGCAATCGTCGGTTAGGTTCTGAACTTCAGAATTCGCATGTTTGTGAAAAGTGCGATCCTGATTTGCGGTCCACAGTCTACATGAAAACGCACCTTTTTTTCCACAAGATGAAAAATATTCAGTTTTAAGATTTTCCTCATGGTATTTTTCTCTAACTTAAAGGAGTAAAATCCTTTGCATTTTGAGACCTAAAAAAGTTTACAGATTTCTCGCTCGCATGTTGCGTTCACCAGCACGCACTTCAAACAATGTAAATAGATGAAACGATCGATAACATATTTTTTACCTGATACCGATGTGAGTTAAAAATTCGCTCCAGTTCTGTTTGTCTCACCCAAGACTAACTTTTCTTCATGGAAGATAACTATGCCGCTATATAACCCGTCCGAAGTTTTTGTGCCAGCTAAACAATATGGAAACACTATTCACAGAGACTCCTTGGATATTAAAAAGACTGAACGTGACGCACTATTATGCCTTTGTTTACTCCTGATCACATCTTCAAGCGAAGTCTCTCTTTTCAAGCGATTCATCTCAATGCACAATAATTGACCCTTATATTAGTTAAAATCCTATGGTTCATTTATATTAATGCTGTTTTTGCCCCTCACATTGACTGTGTTCGTTCGTATTCAAAACACCTTTACCAAAATAAAGGCCGTATAAGTCATGTGTGTTATGTTTCGAGATAAATGGATTATACGCTTTTTTAAGTTTCCATTTTGCGGTGACTTCAGTTTACATCTCCATAAAATGGTAAAAGAAATATCAAGAAACATCACGAGAGGTGAAAATTTTCAAAGGCATGTTTCTGAAACTCGCTAATGCTGACATCAATATAGCGTGCTTGCTGAATGGGCGAAAACACAGAATTGTGATCACAAGATCTTGTACAAATTTAATGATAAAAGCTTAGCAAGATACAGATACAAACAAAAGCAAACCCCCTGAAACCTCGACGTGGGCTACACTTGTATGCTCTACTCAGTCACCAAACCTTGTCAGTAATAGCTCCTATTTTCGGTCGGTATAAAACATGGACTGCGGACTGCGGACTACGGACTGGGTATAAAATACGGACTAGGTATAAAACGCGGACTAGAAAATACGGACTGGGTATAAAACACCGACAAGGTATAAAACGTGGACTGCGGACTGCGGACTGGGTATAAAATACGGACTACAGACTACTTTGGTAAAAACCGTGCAAATTGGTTCTAGGTAAGGAAAAATAAGATCAAAAGATCGCTAAATAGCAAGACACGTGAGTTTATAAATTCTTGGTGGACGTGTCCCGCCCGGTTCTCTGAATCATGAGCCGGATCAAAATGCTATTTTCTTCACCCATTTTTAGACCTTGTCTTGGCCTCTAACATTCATGAAAGGGGTCAGGATCAGGGGTGGTACTCCCTTCTATAATGGAAGGGTAGGGGGTTTGGGCCTTTTTGGTCTGAAAACACTTTGCCCATTTTGTGTGGAATCGGGTATGGTTTTCGAAGGAACAACGGGAGCGTACATGAATGGACGTATTTATAGTTTCAATTCCAAATGAATAAGAACGAAATAGAAATGTGCGAATTCGAAATGCATTTGGAGAATTTTTTTGTTTCCGCTCTAACTTGGTAATGATGACAAAATTTCTGCCTAATTAGACCTAACCTGTTCAAGGCTCTGAGATAGTTGGGTCCGCTGAATTGAGAAAGGGAAAACACGAAAATAAAACGGGAGAAAACTGGGGAGTCTCCCCAACTATCTGAGAACCTGGAACAGGCTAAATTAGGCCAGGTCCGAAAATGGGTATGGATTTTAAAGATCTAGTCTGAAAACAGGTGTGGAAAATGACAATTTTTTGGTCTCCAATAAGGTCAGGATTCGGAGAACCGGGCACTACACCCCCACCAAGAATTCCCAGTAGTACCCGCTTCCGGGGATCAGGAGCAGGGTGTACATCATGTCATCATAATCATTGCTTAGAATATAACGTTGGATGACTCATTTCGGTTATTATTCACGTATGTGAGTAATCCCTCGCACCTAAACACTGCTTTTGTGCATCGCATTGACTTTCTCGTCTGAGTTCTTCATTCAGTCCTCATATTCCCAAGGCTTTATTTGAAACGGAATTGTGGCATCCGATAAGAATTTTACCGATCTGACAAACACCAATACTATTTTTTTTAATTTGGTGCTTCTTATTGGTGTAAAACTGCAAATTGAAATCTCTTCAAACTCCTTCTTTTTTTAAAATTCAGAGTTTAATTTCAGTTGCCTTGAGTACCGGCATAACCTTCCTTCTCCGTGGGAAGAATAGACTACGTGAACAGCGTTAAAGCTGGGACTACTGTTTTTGCTAGTCCGCTTTCTATTTCTCTCAGTTTTACCTTCTAAAGCTGTTTTTATATACATAGTCCGTAGTCCGTGTTTTATGCTCAGTCCGGAGTCCGCATCTTATACCTAGTCCGTATTTTATACCCAGTCCGCAGTCCGTGGTCCGCAGTCCGCAGTCCATGTTTTATACTGACCGCTCCTATTTTCCTCAAGTCGCTCTCTGTGAAGCTCCCGGATGGGATTTCCCGGAGAAGCTTTAAACTTGTGTGCGAAATTCTCAGAGTTCCTATTTTTGTCCGTGTCGTCTTTATCAGTATCCGAAATTTAGACCTCCAAAGTGGCGTGTGTTGCATTAAATAGAAGGAGATATTTAAAGGAAAAGCCAGTCTTCTAACATGGCAAAGTTGTCACGTCCCTCGCTCATGGACGTGCGTCACATCAGGATTTCATCTGCCATTCATCGGCAACTGAGTTGTTCGCTTCACTGACTATGACGGCTTACAATCAAGTCTTCAGCCATAGTGTCGTCAACTGGTGAAATACTTTGCTCATAAATTGTGCTTCTTAATTGCTCATGTACTACATCGATCGATAGTTCACGAAGCGGCCACGGCGTTCCAAACCTGACGCTCACAGTCATCTTTTCAGTCTTTTAGTGTGAACCTACCGTGAACGGCGTGCCGATTTGAATGCAACGCGAGCATTCCTCTGAGTTTCCCGGCGCCAACATCATCTAACTTACTTAAACTCGAACAATAAAAAAATTATAAAGCGACTCCCATGGTCGAATCGCTTCGAACAACGCAAATAGCGTTCTTCAGGTTCGCAACGCCTTGTGGGTTTTTCAGGGGGAGCACAGACAAGGTACAAAAAGTATCCGTGCAAGGCTCCGTGCAAGAGAAACTCATATGAAACCATTTGTGAGAACATCGTTTCGCGGTACCAGACCCTCGTGTCTTCCCTCCCCCGGGAGACCACTTTTTGACACCGACGACCGAAAGCCCATTTTATGACTGGGCCGCACGGGCAGACCAGTAATTATATGAGGTAAGGCGCGAAAAAATACCGTATTATTTTTCAACATGTCTGATGGCGGA